CTTCTCTTTGTCTTTTTCCTGGCAGCTGCATTTCTAACATCCTTCTACCAATATACCCACTGTTCCTCCTTTGGTCCTGTTCAAACCCTCTCAGTCTGGCCTCTCTAACTTTATCTCCCAGTTGTTCAACCTGTATGATACCTCCTCCTTCAGTACCACCCTACTCCAATTCTCTTTCTATCCACACCATGGTAAAACAGTTTGAACCCTGCTCCAATGCTGCGAGCTTTGCTGCGCTTCTACTTGGTCTCTTGGACACAAAACATCTACCTTCCTTCTCTGCATCATGTCAGCCAGCTCTCTACCTTTGCCTGTCATTGTCCCCACATTAGAGTGTCCACTCTCAGTCCTACATTCTTGACTTTCCTCTTCTCCCTCTTGTCTCCTGACACGTTTCCCTCCTCGTGATCTTCGAATAACAGTAGCACAATTTCCACTGGCACCCTGTTTGTCAACAGCATCGGTAGCGGTCGTTGTTAATACGGGCCTTGACCAATCCGTTATGGTTTCACTTTGATGAACTCACATTATAGTTTTGGCAAAAGTGTTTTATGTCGGATGCACTTCCTGACATAATGCTCACCTTTTACCCGGGCTTGGGACCGGCACAAGAGATACACTGGCTTGTGTCCGTCAACAAAATATCTCATGACCTTTTGAAACAAATAAATTATTACGAACGAGCCAATTTCACAATGACTGAAATTTGGTGACAGCTGAACATCAACCCTACCACATAATTTGGGCACTATACTGAGATTTTTGTATAAAACATTGGTATTAGCTGTTGTTAAACATTTTAATGTATACAAATATATTTGCCTTTCAATACTTATGCAGACAATGATAATGATGCCAATCGTTTCCATTCTGCTGGGTATAAATATTAATTCCAAATCAATACAATGGTTTGAAAGACGTAACAGAAAAAGCTGTTAAGAATAAAATTAAACTGAAGCCTTACAAAACAGTGACATAATATACAAATAAATAAGTGGAACTGATATAAATTCAGTCCTTAATGCTGATCAAATCCAATCGGTGTACATTAACAAGCGAATCTTTATGGAGGTAAAATTAAAGTTTGATTTTTGTTATGTTGAGCATTATTGTGCAAAAAACAGCAAATGTTACGAAACCATTTAGACTGTAAACACACATAATGAAAAAATAAAAGAAACCTAAAAGATGAAAAGATTTTTTTAAAGAAATATTTTGAAAAAAATAAAATAAAATCTGTTGTCTGCATTGATTGTGTTGCCTCCATAATTTCTTCTAACTGTGGTTGTATTTTGCACCTGCAGCTATTTTGTCAGCATGAAGATGATTACACTTCAAAACGCAATTAGGAAACGGCCTCGGCAGTTCTGCTTTTCAAATTGAGATGGCAACATTTGAGTCTTTCACCTCAACAGCACCAGAGTACAGAACATTTTATGACCTTGCTTCCACGAGGTGCATTAAATGTTTCTTAACTCGTAGTTTTGATAAAACCTGTCCCACTTTTCCCCGTGCTGTGCAACAGTTCCTGCTCCTGCACAGCGAACGAACCCAGAGATCTCTGCAGAACGTGCCCATCAAAATGTCACCGTGCCCGCGGCTGTTCCAGGATAATGTGCCTGCCTGCGGAGCTGCAAATCATGATACATGGCCTTGGGACATGTAATGTTCTGCAAAGTGCTTCTCCCTTCCCAGTAAACCCAGGGCTACGTGCAAGGCAGGAAATGTGAATTTGTAATGAGAGCTGTAAAGTAAAAGAAAAAAAAAAAAAAAATGCAACAGAGCACTCTGTCATTTCATTAGCTAAAAAAACCGATGACGTTTACGTTTCTATTCATCTTAGTCCCTTTTAAATGATGAAATTCATCCTGCCAACAAGCTGCCATATCCATTCCTAGTCCCGATCAGCTCTGCTTCACGTCTCATACTGTGGGCTGTGCAGTGCAAAAGGTGTTGAGACAAACAAAAACTGCTGTCAAAGCCGCTCCAGGCCCTCAACTCAGCCGTTCTGAGACAAACTCAACATTTATCACAGCAAGTCGGCAGAAAGAGCCGCCCACAAAGGCAGAAATTACAGAAATTATCTTGCAAAGGGAGATGCACACAAAGCAAGAGACAGAATAATGTGACTGAAATCATCCTGTCCACTGGCAGCTCGCAGATGAAACATTTAGTCATAACATTTCTTGAACCAATGCATATCGCCCACCACTAAAATCATCTTGTGCTGAGGAGTTGCATCTAGCTGGGTCAAATCTTGAAAACATTGTGCATAATCTGAATGAGAATGGAGTTTTTGAAATCATTCAGTCTGGTTTTAAACAATTACACAGCACAGAAACAGATTTGATTAGGGTTTGTAATGACATTTTGTTAGCAAATGATTCCGGGCAGTTTGTGATACTTGTACTCCTGGACCTTACCGCAGCGTTTGACACCGTTGACCACAGTATCCTTATAACAAGGTTAGAACACTGGGTTAGGATTACAGGTGCAACATTAGAATGGCTCTGTTCATACGTGACAGGAGTTTCTGTGTTAAGTTGGAAATAGGGTCAGTGCCTCTTTCCTGTGGGGTCACACAAGGCTCGATTCTTGGACCACTTTTGTCTTCACTCTATGTGCTTCCTTTAGGGCAGGGGTGTCAAACTCACTTACAAAAGGGGCCCAAAATTAAAACCTTTCTTTCAAACTAAGGACTAATTTCAGAAACTACATTAACTCAAATCAGATACCCAACCTCTTTTCTTGGTCACAAGTTCCTCAAAAATAGTTTAATTGGTCTCATTTGATGTCCCCTGCTGTGCTTTCGACATCATAATCAAAGATTACTGAAAAAATTCAAGAGATAGAATTTTACGTTTCACATAATCATCTTGGGGGGCAGATAAGATGTGAATGAGGGCCACATTTGGCCCCCGGACCTTGAGATTGACATGTGCTTTAGGGTCTATCCTGAGGAAACATGGCCTTTCATTATCATTGTTATGATGATGATTGTCAGATTCATCTGCCCTTAAAACCCAACAGTTCTTGCGCCATTCGCTCTCTGTTAAAAATGTCTTGATGACATCAAGGCACAGAAGGCTTCCATTTTTAAAAGTTTTAATGATCAGAAAACTGAAGTTATTGTGTTCAGTCCTAACTCTACCGCTGTCTGTCATTGTCCCTAAACTTTGGAACAATCGTCTCTCAACATTAAACAGGCCACTTCACTCCGTTTTTAAATATCTTCTAACACACACCTGTATTCACCGACATTTAACACAGCGTGATTTGATTTACTATTTCGTTGTTTCTCGTCCTTTTTTATTTTTGATGCTTTTAATTACATCTCATATTTTTATTACCTTGATCTTATTAAGCACTTTGGTAACAGCTTTAAATATACTTTATAAATAAAGTTGATTTGACTAATTTCATACAATAGTGCAAGATGAAGCTACTACCACATCAAATTTCAGGTCTTTACCTGTAAAAATGACAGAGTTGGAGGCATTTTTTTAAGCTCCTCTGCTGCTTTATCACTTTATAGATGGGCAGCCTCAACACCAGTGAGGTCTCACTGGACTGAAGTAGAATCCATAACACAACTCAACCGGAGAGATTTATCATTTCACAGCTGAATTAAAGCTCAGATTACAATCCACACAGAGAAAGAGACCACAGTAAATAAATTCAGACCATAAATGTTCTTCCCAATATATAACTTTATTTAAAATATTGTTACAATTTATTACTCTACACAATTTTTAAAATCTTTTTTTTTATATATATACTGGTTAGTAAACCTTTAAAGACATTTTTAGATATAAAACTTTTTTTTTTAAGCTTTATGTTAATTGTCGTCTTTATACACTCATTAAATGAGAAAAAAAGATGTTTTAAACAACGTTTTAAGTTTAGGTAGTCCTCCTTGTAGCCGTTTCCCCACACTGACTTAACAGTGAATATTGTCTCGACCCTTGTACGTGATCATTTTACTGTGTTGGAGAAATAAGAGTGTTTTTGTTTTTAAAGAATACTTTTTTTTTTTTTTTTAACATGAACAAGTCTCGGGTCTGTCACCGCCTTCCTGCTTCAGAAAAACAAGTTCTCCAGAGCAGAAGACATTATACAAATAGGCAAACACTTTTTAAACAGCTTACATCCACCAGTCGTGTTAGATAGTTGGGACACGTCGGCAGCGAGGGTGCTCGAACCTGCCGGTCCTTCCAGAGGTCGACAAACACCGAGTTCAGACAGAAACGCAGAGGATGAGACACATATTGCGACTCTGACTGAACCAAAACTGTACAAGACAAATAACCTTAAAGAAGTCACTTTAAAAGCTGAAAGTAAGCCTTGTTAAATGCTGCACAGTTAGGAACCAGACAACTGGTGTGTTGCTGTAGCAACAGCATCCAGTTGGTAAAGAAAAAACTTTCTGAACCTTGTGTACGCCTTCACAAAATACCCATTTCTCCTCTTTCACACCACGTCTCATGCCTTCCATACCATTTTATGGTATTTAAGAAATTGTTCTTTTGCTAAATAATCATTCGGTTAAAACTCCGGTTGTCCAGCATCTCAAAACATAATAGCTGCACACACTGACGATATCGAACACAGGTCATCTGTCTAAAGACATGCTTGGTTACATTCCTGTCACATCTCTCCTTTCACCTTTTTTTTTTTTTTTTTTTTTTACTGTGACATTTAGCTCATGGATGAAACGAACCGCTGACAACACACACAAACCTGGCTATGATCGAGCAAAAGGCGACACCTGGTACAGACGAGACAAACCAAATCACAAATATATATATATATTTATATTTTAACAAAAGCAGCTTTCTAAAAGCGTTTTCACAGCAGCCACAGGGTCGGACAACAAACAGCAAAAACAAAAAAACACAGCTGAGGAGTGAGTCAGTTGGCTGACAGGAATAAAAGGAACAGAAGCTGCACTGAGCGAGTTGAGGCAACGTGTTGCTGCCACGGCAACCGCATCTCCCTGCGATGATGGGAGACCAACCTGGAGAGAGTGAGCGCAGAGGACAAACAAGGCTGCACACACAACCACAAGCCTCACACTGCCTTTTCTCTGTTTCACTGAAAAACTGAATCATAAAATAATAAATACAGTGTCAAACGTCTAATCCATCTCTAAACTGGTTTCTACTTTGCCAGTCAAAATGACCATCCAGCAATTTGCATTACAGTTAATTAATCAAATGCTACAAGGAGGTATGCATTTCTACAACGGAGTCAAATATCTTGAGGGGCCACACACAGTTCAGTTAGTGTAGCAGATGGGGATATTTGTGTAGGTTCTGCTAAAACAAATACACACTTCTCATTTGTCTAAATCCATCCACCATCCCCGCTGTCTTACAAATACACAATCCCATCTTCATTTGCTGGCTCCCACACAGACAGCTCATCAGACACGTCCAATCAGAGCCTAAAAGCTTATCAGCAATGTCAATGATAAACACAGAGGACACACTGAGGCGACACACACGAGCACGCTCCGAGGTAACCGACTGAAAGCACGGGATTACCAAACGCAGACATGCAAAACCTGAAAGTAAAACAAAAAGAAAAATGTGCAGAAGTCAAACTTGTGCTCTACAATTTATTGTGGAGAGAAAAACAATCTGAATTTCAGGCTTTTGGTCCAAATTGTGAGTGAAGCACAGAAACGAGTCGGTAACGAATTAGTAGAGATTAATTCTCGCCCTTAATTGGATAAACAAAAAAACTTACAGCACTGAAGCAAACTCAGTTTTTTTCCCGTCATCGTGTACGCCTGACTTTTACAGTTCTGCTGAGATAAAGGCGGTAAACATCTACAGAATGAAAAAAACCCAAACATAAATAAACCTAGCATCTGTATAACAGAAATTCACAAATTGGTTAATTTAATCACGTTATGTGCAAATGCACACGACTTAATACTGTATGCGTAGGAGGCAGACATTAAACTGATGGTTATGGCAGCAGTTAAACAACTTCACGCTCTACTTTCTGCACGAGACGTCATCCTCCCTCCCGATTTACTTCATGGATAAACTGCAGAGGAGCGATACTTTTGGGCGACATAGACCCGAAGGGATCAAACTTATTCGGCCTTATGCTCTACTGCCACCTGCTGCCTGCTCAAAAACACCGCATCGCATTCGATCATAAATCTTGTTTATATTCACAATCTGTCTGCAAGAGTCCCTGTTGTGTAAGATGTGACATTTCAATAACATTAACGCTTTAGCCCATCAACCTTTTTTTGTTGGAGATTATTCCTGCAGCGCTAAGAATGACAGAGACACCTCCTCTCGGCTACAAAGCTTGGTTAAATAGCCGCTATAAAACACTTGCAATGGGGATAAAATATCCATACACTGAGATTAATGGCTGCCTGCCAACAGACGTCACTCTTCGGTGTGTGTTAAACCGGGGACAAGGTGGGAAAAGGGAGGTTAATACATCCTGAATGCAATTCAGTTAGATCAAGAAAACAATTTATACTGCTCTTATATTAATCTATATTTTATCAGAAGCATGATGAATAAACATACAAATAATTATGAACACATCCACTTCCTTTGTGACATTTGTGCTGCTTATATTCTCTGACAAAGACAGGACGCTAAGGACCGCAGAAGTAGAAAATATATTTTTTTGTTAATGTCCAGCATCAGTGTAAAGCGTGATTTTTTTGTATTTATCATTTGACTGTGAAAGAAGCAGAAACCCTCTTCACTGATGCAAACTTCTCAGGTTTTCTTCTCTTTTTATCCCAGCTCAGTTCACCATTCAGGGCTCAAGCTGCAGGATTTGGGCTGAATGGGTCTGTCAGAAAAGCTGACTGTCAAATCTCCGTCCCAGAAGTCGGCTCTTTCATCGGATTTCTTTGAGGTGGTCTGCTTTGCAACAATGCTTCCCACTGTGCTGTCAAACCTGACCAGCCAGCCACTGAACTGACACGTCTCATCCACTGGTGTGGCCAGTGTTGAGCCCAACATCGCAGGGCCGATGCATGGAGGAAAACAACAGACACTATGAAGATCTAGTAAATTACATGGAAAGCTGGTTTATGTAGATTTTTCCTCTTTTCGCGCCGTTCGTCCCTGGATTTGTTAAAAGTGTGACTTTCCCAGTTTCCCAAATTGGTCGCCTCGGCCTCTCGGTTCCGTTGTTTACATCGACAGGCGCTCTCCCAGGGTGGCTGTGATGATGCGAGTGGATCAGTTCTGGTTCGAGTGATAGCCGGTGCATTTTAAGAAGTTGCGATTTCCCCCCCTAGGTGGCGCCATCCCTTCTGTTGCGTCTCCAGAGGAGGCAGGTACTCTGGAACACAGTGATGGTTCAGAGTAAGACTGAATGATGGTTTTATTTGATGTGACTGATGAAAAAGCTAGCACACCACAACCCAGCAGAGATCGGTCTGTGTGCAGCGGCGTCCCGAGGACACTTGCTTTAATTACTGATCATTATCAGGTGCGAGTCGATCCGCTGCACACCGATACCCTCCTCTCATATCTGGATGTCCTCGACTCTCTTCAGGTGTTTTATTATTAATCTCTTTCCCTGGAACTCTGAAGCTTTGTATTTCTGCGATGCAGTTGTTTGTCCACATAGCTGTTGATGGCTGCTCGTCGTCTCAGATTTGGCAAATAGTTTTAGCATCTCATGATCAAACCTCAGAGCTAAAACTGTTAGCTGATACCATCTGTATCCTAAAGTCTCTGCTGTCCTGTGCACTCTAACACCATCAGTTTATGTTTCACACACGTCACCCTCGGCCACTTGTTCGGCTTTTTGAAAATGTTTTCCTCTTTTTTTTGTTTTTCCGTACATCATCTTTGCAATCCAACTACGGTACTCTGCATACTTTGGCACATATACGGTAAAACTGTTCAGTTTATTTAGAAGATGAGCGTGATGATTTTTTTTTTTTTTTTTATAAATTATCCTATTCAAAATATTTAACTTTATTTACAAAGATTTCCCAAACAGAAATACACCGAGTCCTCTCGAAAACATTGTTCTCTTTTAAATCAACTCAGACTCTATTAATGTCTTTCTGTTACTTTAAGCTAACATTTGCCATCTTTAGCTCCCATTCTACTTTTATTTTTTAGCTACTATGTTTTTCAGATTTAGCTAGCCTTTTAATACTTTTGGCTAGCCTTTAGTTAGTTTTAAATAATTCAAAAGTTTTGTTTCTTTAAGCTTTTAGCTAGTGTTTTACTAGTTTTAGCTAACCTTTTACTTCATGCAGCTTTTAGCTAGCCTTTTGTTAGTTTTAAGATTTAGCTTAACATTTGCTTCTTTAAGTTCTTATCTAGCCTGTTGCTCCATTTAGACCGTTTTATGCTGCTTTTAGCTTGCCTTAAGCTACTTTACGGTAGCGTCTTGCTCCTATTAGCCTTCAGCTAGCGTTTTGTTCCTTTTAGCCTTTAGCTTGTGTTCTGTGTTTTTTAGCTTTAACAACTCAGTTTCACATTCTTCAGCAAATTCACTCAGTGCTCAGAAATCAGTGTATTTTTACAGAAAATGCAGTTTTTTAGTTTTCTAAAACATATTTTCCTGTAGTTTGCAGCTGTCCTGTTTAAATACTTCATGTGCAACACAAAAGGTTTTTAGTAAATATAGATTATCTTCAATATCTTCTTAATCTGGAAATCAGTTAACAAGTTGAATTCACTTTTTAAAAGTTTGTATATTTTATCAGTTCATACTTAAAATTCTTGCCCTGCCCTTGACATTTTGGGTTTTATCAGACAGGAAGCTTTTGAATAATTTATGTTCTTTGATGGGTACCATCAATCAAAGAAGAACAACATCTGAATGCATATTTGCAACTGATAAAACCTAATCTCTCTGGAGTGGTGTTTCTGTCTCCAAGAGAATAAACCGTAGCCATTTACCATTGTTGCTGCAGTTTTTGTTGTCTTTATCAGAGGCCTCTTCCTCAACCTGGAACAGATAAAAACATGAACATAAAATTTTATATTTATGAAAACACACACAAACCATGTAAGCACCTTCTGTATTTGCAAGGAACAACTTAAGAACACACTAAGTTTAGACCTACAAAGCTGGCACGCAGTCATTCTTTTCCCACAAGAGGAAAGGAGTGGTCTTTACCTGTTTCCTCCACTTCAGTTCACAGAAAACGCGCTCAAAGCACTCGTGCATGTAGTTGAACTGGGAAGGGGGACAAAGGACAGATAAAAGTTATTCAAACAGCCAATACAACATCAAGTGCTATATAAATAAATTGGTATGGTATGGTATGGTATCTACATTATGTTTATGCTAGCTGCTTTTGCTTCTTTCTGCTGATTACATGTGATTTTAAGAAAGTCAGGGTTTCTTTATTTGCCATTCGCACAAAATTATGTGCACAGGGTCCCAGTTACATCCAACAAAAGCATAAAATGTAAAAGAAAAACAGTAATAAGATCTAAGATTTGAACTAAGAAAAACAACTAAAAATACACTAAAAACTAGTAGTATAAAAACTATATTCTGAACAGCAGCACGAACATGAGTCTGTGTGAGCAGAGGAGTACGAATGAACACAGCAACATGAAACAGATCAGCAGCAACATGAAACAGATCAGCAGCTTGATGGGATTTTAATTTTTTTTCCACAAAGATAATCCTGTTAGAGATTCATGAGTCTAACAGCCTCAGGGTAGAAGCTGTTCCTCAGTATAGTGGTTCTACACTTAATGCTCCTCAAACTCCTGTCTGAGGGGAGTGGGGCAAAAAGTGTGTGCTGGGTGAGTGGGGTCCTTCACGATGCAGGTGCAGGTGTGTGTGAACTGAGTGAAGTTATTAAAATGTGTATTTCAAGAAATATTCAAGTCTGAGCCATCTTTTCCTTAAAGACTAATTCTTTAAAGCACATTTTAGGCCATTTAATAATGACATCTTCTGAGTATCGTTGAGCCTATAAAGTTGTCTGCATTACTGTGATACAATCATTAGCTATTTTATCATTCAATTGTATCTTAAAAAAAAAAAAAATCACAAATAACATGGAAAAAAACGAATAAAAAAAAGTTGACTTCAGTTATGTGACTGACAGGGCATTAGATTTAAGCCATGCTGCTACAAAGTTGCAGTAGCCTGAGAGGCTGATGTACTGCAGGTCTGTCTTCGCAGACATTAATACCTTCAACCTAAAGCTGATTAATAAATTGTTTGCCCCAAATTAAAATAGCATGTAGAAGTCACCTCCCAAAGGCCAAACTTTTGCAGAAGCTTCACCTTCTCAACACATATTGGTCTTGACCTAACCGCTTATCGGACAGAGGTCTTTCACATAATTTCTGTTATTAAATGGCGAAATTAAATCAGACCCTTTGGGGTTCAGGTTCATTTTAAATGTACTTATCGAGAAAGGTTAATGTAATTAAGGGACAGTAGCATATTCTAGCTTTAGCCCTTCTTTATGAGGAGAGATGCTGCTCTGGCCTTTTATACACAATTATTTGCAAATACTTTCTCTTGCCTTTAAACCCCCCCCCCCAAAAAAAAACAACAGGTTTTTAATTTAACTTGAAAACAGATAAATTCTCAAATACTTGGTATGTTCTGAATCAATGGCAGAAGTTGTAGAGATTTAAACATCGCTCGTTAAGTAATTCCATAAACGTCGTCATGATGCAGGTCTGTGATATTATTAAGAGTCAACCTCTTTCCATGACCTTTGATGGTGACTGATGATGTAACGTTTAAAGCTACTGCTGTGTGTAACCATGACTGTAGTACTACAGTACAAGTACATATTCTCTCAGGTCTGTGTTTGCACGTGCCCAGTTCTGCTTATCACAGGAGTGAAAACACACACTTACATATGGAGTGAAAATCTTAACCCAGCGAGGTTTCTTCTCTCCTCTGGCGTACTCGAAGCAGAAAGCCATCCCCTCCTCATCAGTGTCCCAGCGCTGCATCTCCGCCCACTCGAAGGTTATTACCTGGTTCTGAAAAAAGATACATTAATATCATTAATAAAATGATTACTACGTGCTTATTCTTCCTAAATTAAACAGAAAAACTGTCCTTTGAAGGAAAAAAAAAAAACAATGAACTGGATCTGTTAAGTGTTTGGTGTTCTGAAGTAGCTAAAGACAAACGCTCACCTCCACGGTGCCGTCCTCAGTGCATGCGAGCAGCTTGAAGTGATGGATGCTGATGGCTGTGATGACGTGGCCCTTTCTCCTGGAGTCGCAGGAGCAGTGAGGGAAGACCACCTCATTGTAGCCCTCACATGTCCGCAACAGGCTTAGGTACTGACCAGTAATAAAGGAGGGCAGATATCAGTCAGGAACGACTTAAAGATGTAAAATGTAACCAAAAAAAAATTTATTGTAACCGCAATTTTGAGGTGTTCTTGGTGAAAGCAAACAAAATTAGAGAAATTTCATTTCATTGCGAAAATGCAGTGTGAATGCTTATTGCTGAAGAACTTGCTGAAAACAGCTAAAATTAGATTAAAAAAACATTCTGAAATGTAGCAGAAATGAAAGAACATGCCTAAATTAGGAGAAAGAACATATATTTGCTGAATTAGGTTTTAATAAACAGAAATTAGCACAAAATTAGGAAATGAGCTTAAAAAAAAGAGGCTAAAATTAGCAACAACAAAAAAAACAACAACATCTAAAACAACCGAAAAGGCAGAAAAAAGCTTAAACTATGAGAAGGAAGTGGAGAAAGCTGAAATGACCTAAAAAAATGTGGAAAGAGCTAAAAAGACTAAAATTTGCATAAAACGGCAAAATCGTAGCTGAAATAGCAGATAAAGCTGAAACTAGCTAAAATCATGTGAAAGGAGCACAACAAGCTGAAATTAGTAGAACGAAATTAATTAGGCTAAAAGTAGATGAAATTATCAGGAAAAACTTGACATAATCTACAAACAGCTGAAATTAGCTTTTTTTTGGTTTCTAAAAAGGTAGCTGAAAAGTAGAACAAGCTTAAATTAGCTGAAGAAGGTAGAACACATTTGCCCATTTGAAGTGAAAAAAGCAGAAATGAGCACAAAAAGTAGAAATTATCTGAAAAAAACTGAAATTAGCCAAAGCAAAACAGCTGAATAGTAGCTAAAAAAGCAGAATGAAGCTGAAATTACAAGGAAGTGAAGAGAGTACATTGTTGCTGAATTAGGCAACAAAAGTTGAAATGAGTACAAAAAATGTTGAATTAGCTGAAAAAGATTAAATGAGCATAAAACAGCTATATAGTAGCTGAAATAGTAGAAAAAGCTGAAATTTTCAGAAACAAGTTCAAAGGAGCATAACAAGCTAAAATTATCAGAAAGAAGTTAGAAGCAGCACAAAAATGTAGTAGTTAGCAGAAAGTATCTGAAAGGAGTACAGAACAGTAGAAAAAAGCAGCTGAAATGAGCTGAAAAAAAAGCATAAAAAAGTTTAAATTTGCACAAGAAAGCTGAAAAAAGCTGAACCAGAACAAAATGTGAAAGGAGCAGTAAAAGGTTGTAAACAGATCTAAAGATCTGAAGAAGGAGGAGCTCAATTCATTTTCTATGAGAAAGAAATGGCAGAAAAGGCTAAATATTTCATTTATTGAAATAGATTGAAAACCGCGGAACGAGAATCGCCCGGAAAAACGTACGGAAGAAAAATGGATCACAACAGTGTGAATGCTTCATAAACATCCACACTATACTCCTCAGACTTCATTAACATTGCATCGAAACCAATAGAAAATAACGGGGATAACTAAAGCTGCTAATAAACACCAAAAAATGCCACAATTATTTAAAGAACATTACTTTTTAAAAGGTTTACCCTAACAGGTAATGTGCCTGTAAATGTAGTTTGAACTTAGACACAAAGGGCCTTTATAGTTAATGTTCCACAAACATCAATATCAGCTCAATGGCTTGATGTCTGTTTACTCCACAGAGGGCTGGTTTCTGAAGCGTGAAAGGATTTTAGATTTTTTTTTTCCTGTCCATGTTCCTGCGAGTGTTTTGGTGATGGCTCTGGTCAGCAGGCACACAGTGGTAGTCATCCCGATTCCTTCCCTAAACAAAGACTGGTTTGTGGTACTGACCGTGGCCATCTTGTGCTGCTCCGCCAGTTTCTGCAGCTGGTAGGATTTGTCCTCTGTTTTTATGAATCCCTTCTTCACATCATCCAGTGCCTAGGCAAACGGGGAGTGAGATTACGGTGGGCAGTTTAGGGTGGCACAAAAACATACAACATTTATCAGCTGAGAATACAGAACACGCACAACACCAACATCCCAATACAAGGTTGGAAAAAAGCAGCAAATAGCCAGAGCTTGTAACGGTCTGGTACAGCATTTACTGAAAACAAAAGCCATAACAAAAGGTAATATTTTAGTTAATTTGTAAATACCCAGATGAGAAATTCCTAGTAAGTAATAATTTGTACTTTTTTTTTTTTTTACTGCTGTTCATACACAACAATTCATAACAACCAAGTAGTTGACCTCTAGTCAACGCTCTCAAGTTGTCACATTCCAGACAGTTTTTTTTTTCTATTTATCTTTTACACAATTTAAAAGGTCACTGCTGAACCTTAAATACCTCACGTGGATCAAGTAATGACCTTCATTGGTTGGAAAACAACTTGGAGGCTAATAAAGCTAATTCAAGGGAACTTATATTTAGATGGGGGGGCATTAAAACGAAATGTTCACGATAGGTGTAAAATATTAAGAGTACTGCATATGTTTTATACAAACGGGAACAACTAAATATGCTCGATCCCTTTCAACTTCAAAATACACAAAAAGGCTCTTGATGAAAATGTAAATTACTGTCATTACCTGGTGGAAACAGTAGTGCAGTGCCAGCGGGTTATCTCTGAGCAACTCCTCCTCCTGGACGCTAAACAACCATTTGCGGAGAGCTAAACAAGTTCCTGGAACAGCTGATGTGTAGTTTTGCACATAAAGCTTGTGGGGGAACTCATTTGGTGCAAGCTTCCTCACTGCAACGACACAGATAGAAAGAAAAGAGTGATGGGCTTTAAAACCATACACGTTAGTTTACCATGACGCCTTCTCTTGCTGTGGAAAATTACAATCCAGAGATAAAATAAACTCACTAGTGGGATGATATGAATCTTTATTTAGAAAGCAGCATTTCAGGTGATGGAAAGAATTAAACGTTAAAATGTTCCTGTTGAATTAAAAACCTGAATTGCTTACCAAATGAATGGTTGATGACTTCAAAAAGAGCAAAGTAGCTTGCCATAATACTGTCCATTCCAACCTTAACCACCAACGCCTACAGAAAAGCAAAACAAAGCCAATAATGAGTTTCCCAGCAGACTAAATATGATGCAGCTAACACAGCAGACTGCTCAACTGGTCTCACCTGGTACACCTGGTCTGTGGTGCTGTTTTTACGGACCCTGACAGAGATGGTGGTCTTTTCTGGGAGGGCTATCCGTAGTTCCACATCTGTCACGCCGTTGTAGTTCTGCAAAGAGAAGAAAAACAGTGAAGAGCTACGTGGTGTATCCTACCACACCGCAAGACTAAAACAAAAAAACAAAGGCTTATGACTTCAAAACCTAATGTTTCCATGTAATCAAGCACTGAAGATGTTCCAAAGCAATCTCAATCCGCAAAAACTGATCCCTGCAAACTACAGAAACTCTCTGTTTAAATGGCACAAAACCATCTGCACAACTTGAGGCTGCTGTTTTAGGGTTGTATTAACAAATGCAAAAAATCATAATGCTTGTCAATGACAAAAAGTGGTAAATGGACATTTCCCAGCCAGACTGTGTGTTGAAAGAACCCACTTTCTTGGCCTAAATTCCACCACCCATCTATCTCCGAACACACAACACATGAATCAAGGTTTGTTCTCCTGAAGATTGTCCTGAATGCAAGTTCTTGGGCTTTCCCCCAAACTAGGGTTGCCATGAAGTAAACCTGTGTAAAGGCCACGCTAGCAAAAGTTTTCTTTCCCCTTCTGGGCTTCTGAGGTACTCAATTGCACAAGGAGTGAAACTCAATTCTTTAATTGTATTCTCTTCTTTTAAGCTATAGAAAATGATTATTGTCATCAAATTCTACTTTGTACCACAATCCTAACAAGAAAAACTATGATTACTATCACGGATGCACAATATTGGATTTTTGGCCAATATCCAATATGCCGATATGTTCAAACTTTTTGGGCCGATAACCAATACCAATATTTCTTTCCTAAACCTACTTACACAGATTACATAGCTTTCTCTGCAGTGGAATGAAAATACCACATTATTCTACATGGTCTTTGCCAATTTGGCCTGCTACCAAATGCAGATGCCAAAAATGGTGCTGAAAATGATGTAATACTTCAACTCGGATTATGTTTAATGTCAAATTTATTCATGACATTAACTCTCTCTAAAACAATGACAACACTCGAACAGTCGACTTATTTTGATGGACTGGCCGATATCCAATATTTAACTATCGCCAATATCAGCCCTGATACGATACTAGACCAATAATATTGTGCACCCCTAATTAATATATTGCCAAATTCTGCCAAAAGACTATGTTAAATGTTGTACAGCAAAGCTTTCAATCAGCAAATCAGACGAGCAAATGCAAAATAATAAAAAAAAAAAATACAGATTTAGAAAAAAAAGAGAGGACATACCTCATCTGATTCAGAGAGAAACTCCTGCATGATGTCACTCTCTCCTATAATCCGCACCGAACACACTAAAAACAATTACAGAAGGAAAATGGGTCAAAACAAGAAAGGCTGGAACAAACCAAATAAACAAGAAAAAACCATGTCACTGTTTCAAGTGTTTAGATTCACTGGTCTTTAAGTGCTTTAGAAAAATGAGAGCAGCTGTACTACATATCTGCACATTTAATTAGGTTTAGATCTTTAAAGCAGGCCAGACTGTACATAAACATGGACAATGGAGCTGTAATTTTCCTACACAGAAGATAGATTAGTAACAGAAAGCTTTCTCTTGTTTTCGCTCATGTTAAAACACAAGCAGGTTTATTCGTGAGTGCACCTCTCTCCAGATATTCCTCCAGGCCTCTACGACGAGCGTCCAGCTGCTGCTCGGAGAGCGAGAAGGGCCATTTGCCGGGAAGCTTTGGGAAGTTGAAGTTCGAAAATTCTCTCTTCAGGTTTTGGTGCAGGATGGCAAACTCACGGTAGCGTTTGGAACACAGCTGTCTACCTGACATGTACACATTGTACACCTTTGGCCAAAACATTCAGAAGTTAGTAGGATTGTGACTCCACACACAGTATAAAATACATTTTCTACCTTTATAATACTCACAAACGGCTATTCCTTTGTTTCGTATGTTCTAAATAAAAATAATTATAATAAAACAATGTAGACAAGTCAGTGCTACTCACCACAAACCTCTCCGAGTGCTGCTCGACATGCTTGTATGTGGGAATAGAAATGGGCACCGCCTGCTTGTCGCTGTAGTCGTAGTTGGGTTGGACATCCTCTCCTCCTTCTAAACCATCGGCTTCTTGAGGCGGAACAGACAACACGGCCAGAACCAGCTCCTTCTCTGCTGCACGGATCAGGTCTACAACCTGCTTATGAGTTGCACCTTCCACGTTTACCCCATTACTAGAAATAGAAAAGACGAGCAAAAAAAAATATGTGAACGGACAAACTGCGAGCAAAGAGCTTTAAATGCTTCTTTAGCTTATTTTTGATGCATGTAAACTTGGAAAACTTTCGTCCCACCAGTTATGTCCTGATCTTTCCCAACGGCAAACAACATTGCTTCTCTAATTTAACTCGCATTTAAACACCAACGAGCCCCAAGTTTCACCTTGTGTGACCTGAAAGCAAGCTGTAGTCCACTGACGGAATAAATGCAACAGAAAATATCAAAACTTCATTGGAACTCAAAAAATAAACTCCACTAACAATCGATGCACCCAATACAATCAGGACTGGCACAGATGCAGCCTTCATGAATATAATTGCAGCCCCACTCAAGCTTATTTTTGCCATATGAATATTCGAAGTGCGCTTGTCCATTTACAATGGGCTATAATATTAAGGCGCTGCCCTTCACTGATTAACACACAGAGCTGGGAGCAACCGGGTCAGCTTTCCTTTAGTGAAAGACACCTCCCTCCCTTCTTGGCTTTGATGACAGCAGATGGCACAGGCATCATGTGTCTCTGCTAATCTCACCATGAGTAACAGTTGGGCAAACACAGAAAAGGAATTAAAAAAAGAAGAAAGTGCATGTCTAACAATTAGCCAGTTTTTTATTGTTTCTAAATCTATAATAGTGTGATACCGCAAGGCTCGGTGTTGGGTCCTAAACTCTTTTTTTTTTTTTTTTTACTTTACATAAATGATATATGCAATGAATCCAAGTTGTTAACGTTTACTTTGTTTGCAGATGATACCACATTATATCGCTCTGGTAATAGTTTGGGCAGGTCCTCAGTATAATGGAAGGAGAATTACAAGTATTAAAAAAATGGTGTGACAAAAATAAATTATCACTAAACTATGATAAAGCAAAATTTGTAAAATTTAACAACAAGAAAATAAAAAATATACAGTCAAACGCATAATAAACAGTATGAAATAGAGTGTATGAAATCAGATTTTTGGGGGTGATCCTTGATTACAAATTGCATTGGAAAGCTCATACTGATAATGTAAAAGCCAAAATGTCAAAAACTATTGCAATACTGAATAAAATAAAACATCTCCTAAATAAGAAATCACTTTACTTGTTATACTGTTGTTTCATACTTCCATACATGAATTATTGTGCTGAGATCTGGGGAACCGTGTATAAAACCAACACAAAACCGGTCTACATGCTCCAGAAGAAAGCCATCCGAATTATTACTGCGTCTGATTACTTTCATCCAACTAATGACATATTTCATACATTGTATATTTTAAAATTTTATGACTTAGTTGAACTCAGTACAGCACTGATTATGTACAAAGCCTATAATAAACTCATTCCAAGGTGTATACAAAAGTCGCTCAAAATTAAAAGAGAAAAACTATAATTTAAGAGAGAAGGATTTACTTAAAAAGGACAAATATTAAAAACAACTGTACTTCAGTTAAAGGGATTCAGGTGTGGAATAGATGTAAGGAGTTTCAACTGTGTTTTTCACTCTTTAAATAAATTTAAAAATAGTATAAAAATAATTTACTAAACAAATATAAGATGATTGTTTTTTGTTTGTTTTTTCCTCTTTTTCCTTTTATTGTGTGTTTTTTAATGAGCTTGTCTATCAATTTAGCTGGATTTCCTTATGTTCTAGAAAACTATACAGGAAATATTCTGCTGCTTTGATGTTGATGTATAACAAAGCGAAGTTATAATAGCCTACACGTTTTTCAGTTTACACTTTGTGTTTTTGTGTTCTTAATTTTTTTATTCATTCGACCTTTATTTAGACAGGTAAATCCCAATGAGCCTCAAGGACTCATTTACATGAGACCTGATTTCAACAAAGAACGATGACAACAATGGACAACAGCGACAACAATAAACAGTTATAAAAAGTCATACAGTCATACAGATTTTTTTTTTAACAAATAGGATGGCTAAAAAAAAGAAAAATAATAAAAAAACTGCTAGATTCTAAGGCGAATGTAGAAAACTAAAAACAGGAACATGTCTGCATTGGTCCCTGCCAGGAGTCCAACAGATGTTTAAAGCCACCTAGAGAGGTCAAGGTCGAGAGCTTCAAATCTTTTTGTAAGATATTCCAGGAAACAGGATCGGAGTAGGAGAAGGCCCTTTTGCCTAGTTCAGTCCTCACTGAGGGAACACTGCAGGTAATAATGTCCTGAGAGCGCACGCTGTAGCTGCACTCACGCAGAGACATGTAGGAGGAGATGTATGAAGGCAGCAGACCAAGAAGTGATTTAAAGATGAAAATATACCAGTGAGAGAGTCTGCATGAAGTTAATGATGTCCAGTTAACCAGTGAGTACAGGGTGCAGTGGTGGGTACGATAATCACAGCCAGTTATGAATCTTAGTGCACCATGATAGACAGCATCCAACATCTGCAGGGTTCTTGTAGGAGCATTCATGTAAATAATGTCACCGTAACCAATGGAGGAAAGGAAAGTCACAGATACAAGGTGTTTTCTAGCATTCAGGGTTAGACAGGATCTGTTTCTGAAAAAGAAACCCAGTTTAACTTTCAGTTTCTTTACTTGGTTTTCCACATGGAGCTTAAAAGAGAGATGCGAGTCGACCAAGATACCCAAATATTTATAGGATTCAACAAACTCAATGGGGACACCATTTGAGGATGAAATCAGAGGAAGAACTGCTGGGACCAACTTCCTATTTGGAAAAAAAAGCATCCCTTTGGTTTTGTCTGCATTTAGGACAAGTTTGAGGCTAAACAAATCTGTCTGGATGATGTCAAATGCAGATTGCAAAAGCTGGAAAGCCTTATCAACTGTTTTAGCTCGACAATAAACAACTGTGTCATCAGCATAGAAATGTATGGATGCATTAGGGATGGTTTTACCTACATTACGTATGTAGATTGTAAAGAGGGTGGGTCCTAAGACTGAGCCTTGTGGTACACCATTGTTGACTGTTAAATAACTGGAGGAAGTACCATTATGTTGAACACATTGCCTCCGGTCTGAAAGATAGTTAGAGAACCAACCAATGGTGTGTTCTGAGAAACCGATTTCTGAGCGTTTATGACACAAGATGTTCTGATCCACAGTGTCAAAAGCTTTAGACAGGTCTAAGAAAAGTGCAGCACAATAATCCTTAGCATCCAGTGCTTCAACAACGTCATTAAGAACCTTCAGTGAAGCAGTCGTTGTGCCGTGTTGTTTCCTGAAACCAGATTGATGTGGAGGTAAGATGTTAAATGAGTCCAGGTAATTTTTGATTTGAGAGTTTATCAGTTTTTCTAGAACCTTGGCTAAAATGCAGAGTTTAGAGATTGGTCGATAGTTGTTCAGTGAGGTGGGGTCACCTCCCTTCAGCAAAGGAAGAACAAAGGCTGTTTTTATTTTTTTTTATGATATTGGTTTGGTTCAGAATTTGTATGTAAATTTAGGGACAGAACTTGATAAGCCATTGCTTCTTCCTGTTCCCTTTTCGAACATTTTTGGTTTGTTTCCAGAATATTTTGGTGGAAATATTTACGCTTTTATTTGTTTATGGTTTAAATTTTAACTGTTTGAAATGAGATCAAGAATTCTAATACTTTGGACTGAAAGAGTAAGCCACAACATTTGGCCAACGGGAGTTTTCTTTAAATTAAAGGAGAGTGATGTGTATCATAATTTAGGGCTGATATACAATTTGTTGGTGAATGCAACTTCTACAATATTTGAGGTGAATTAAATTTTGATAAAATACATGGCCAAAATGACTAAAAAGCTCAAAATGTTAATTAAAAAATATAGCACTAACAAACATTAAAGTACACACAACAAACATGGAACTTTCATAAACAAAATATTGGCTAACAGCGATCAAACTAAAAAGTCTTCTTGTTTAATCTTTTTTTTTTAGTTTAATGATGATTTTGGTTACTGAATATGGAAACAAAATAAGAGATTTAAATCTGTTATTTTTCCCACGGTCCATTATGTAATGGTGACATTGTGCGGTCTCTCCTCTCAAGAAGGCTCTTAACGCTCTGCAAAGTTGTGAAATGTCCAACACAGCTTGTGCCAAAATGAACAGAAAAAGACTTTGAACTGGAGGAAACAAATCTTGTAAAAGAATCATTATGCATTACTGATCTACCTTTAGGCAGGCAGTTTTTACTTCTTAAGTCTCTTCTAAACAAGCATGAATCAGACTTCTCAGCTGATTTGCGTTCAAATACTCCCAAAAATCAGCTGGTCTGTCATTTTTACCTCTCAGTTCATGTCCATCTATATTTAAATTCCTGACAAACATTTTCTAGGTAGAGCTCACGTTCTCTCTGTGCATATGTGGGCTTTCTCTGGGTACTGCAGTTTTCTCCCACAAAACAAAAACATGCACGTTATAGTAATGGTAACTATAAATTGTCCCTAAGTGTGAATAAGTGTGAGTGATTGTCTTGTTTGTCTCCATGTGTCCCTGCAATGGACTTGCAACCTGTCCAGGGTGTCCCTTGCCTCTTGTACAGTGAGTATAGGTGATAGTCACTGTGACACTTCTATATAAAAGATATAGAAGCCTTCTGTGATCCAGGAAGGAAAAACAGGTAAAGAAAATGGATAGATGGATAAAAATAAGCCAATTCTCACTGGAGTAATGCCATCACCAAACTGAATTAGTTGTCCAAATATTTAGTCTATAAAATATTGGAAACAATTGCTTTTTCCTTTCAATAACTGAACAGAAGGTCTAAAATTAGATCAATAAGCATTCATCCCTTCATATGTTGTTGCAAAAACTGCACATTTTTCTCATTACGTTAAAAATTTACATACTTTTCAGACACTAAGATAAGATCCAACTTGTAATTGTGAAAATAAATCGTCAAGATATCCTAAAAGGGTATGGAAAATAAATTAATCCAACCACAGCTCACAATTCGTCTAATTATTTACATATATTTTCTCTTGTATACACACACAGAACAATTACATTAAATCAGTACAGGGAGTTTGACAAAAGAATATAACGTGTTAATAAAAAAAATTAGCTAGCTTATTCCTCCTCATTTGCAGACTCCATAATGCTGACATTTATCATAATCAGCTGATTAAGTTCAGCAAAACAGTCAAACTGGTTAATAAATCACATGATGGGCCCTGTCACGTGACCCAATACATTTGTACTTAAAATGCACACACACAAAAAAAAAAAAAAACAGGCCGAGTTAAAAACAAACTGAAGCCTCAGCACATACAAATAGATCAATGTTCCTTGTTTGCTGTTCTTCCTTATTCTCAGTTAGGCAAACATATAATGTGAACATGGTTTCAATTTCATTTGGTGAGGATTTTAAAGCTCATGCTGCGTCAACACATTCAAGAAATTCGGCATCATGCAATTAAAAGAACATTATTCACAGCAACATCAGAACTGGGGTCAGTTTCCCATGTAAACAGCACAGCTAGCCGCCTGGAGGCTTCTCACCAAGCCAAAACTGGCTCCAACCACAATACAAAGCTCTAAACGCAAATTATCCTATATGACAATACCTCTTAACAGGACTATTAGTTTAATTTATTCAATACTAACACGTTGGAATAGCCACTTTAGCTAAAACAGACGCTTCCTGGCTTGCTAGCTAAAGCTAATCAACATGCAAAGGCTGTTGTCCAACTTATGTAAGCTTGTTAGCTCACCAGCTTTGGGGGTTATACTCAAAATACTTAACTCAAACACCCACAGAATGAACAATGAACCATTTGTTTCGGTAGTTGACTCTTAATTTTGCTACATATGATTGAAATTGAATCCACACACGGGCTAAGCTGAACTGGTGCTAGCCAATGGCTAACTGGACGGGAATCTTGACTTACACCTCCAGGATCCTGTCACCCTTCGCTATCCCTGCTCGGTCTGCGGCACCTCCGGGTAAAACAGCGCTGACGTGCTGGAGAGGAGCGTACAGTTCGCCGTTGATGCTCCGAAGCTGTCCCCCTTCGCTGACTTGGCCACGAACATTGAAGCCGTAGCCAGACTCGGACTTGACGATCCTAACTACCCGCGGACCTGACGCTACCGTTGCTGCGTTCTGGCCCGCGGTGCTCGCCGATGATGAACCGACGACCGGATCGTCGCGGGATGCCGTGGGGAGACCCGGCCGAGTTTCTTCGCCTTCAACATCCGCCATATTCTTCTTAACAGTCACTAACCCCCTTCCGCAGTCGGTGTTTTCGAGCAAATTCAAAACAACACTTGGGGTCTGTCCCTCTGATTACGCTAGCTCCAAACAGACAGACTCTGTTAGTAATAACCCGCCCCGTGGTGACGTCACGAGTCACGGCAATACAACGTGACCTGCAGGAATTATGGCAAACCGATATATCATTTTTATGTCTGTTTTTTTTTTTTTAATTCAACCTTTATTTAAACAGGTTAATCCCACTGTGTCTCGGGCACTCATTTATAAGAGACCTGATTATATTTTATGTGATTTTATGTGGGAAATGAAAATTTAGATACTTCTATAATTTTGAATCTTCAAAAACACTTTAAATATTAAATATATAATCAGAAATATGCAATGTTTTTTATAATGAACTGTTAGTGGGGTGGACATTTCCTAAATCACTTGTGTTACATTTTCTGTAGAAAAAGAAGGATGTATGCGGCTTGATATTAATTTGTTTGTTTGTAATTGGCTCATTTTTTTCTTCCTCATACTGGTCAAGTTTGTATGTCGTGAAAAATGCTCCGGTCTAATTAATCAAAGAAATGGACACCTCGCCCCACCAACATCCACTCCCATCCACCCCATCTGAAATGTGAGTTTTTACTTTTTATTTTATCTGTTTAAAACTAGGGTGGCACAACTGGTAGAGCTGCTGCCTCTCAGCGAGCAGGTCCTTGGTTCAAACCCCGGTCCAGGGGCCTTTCTGGGTGGAGTTTGCATGTTCTCTCCGTGCATGCGTGGGTTTTCTCCGGGTACTCCGGTTTCCTCCCACAGACCAAAAACATGCATGTTAGACTGATTGGTAACTCTAAATTGTCCCTAGGTGTGAGTGAGAGAGTGAATGGTTGTTTGTCTCGTTTGTCTCTATGTGGCCGTTTGATGGACTTGTGATCTGTCCAGGGTGTACCCCGCCCCTCGCACAGTGATTGCTGGACATGGCACCGGTGACCCCCGTGACCCAAAATGGAATAAGCGGGTAAAGATAATGGATGGATACACAGAATTTCATCACTGTTGGACTCAGCAGGTTTCACTGCAGCTCTGAACTTAAGTCAGGTTTAGATTTACCAGTGGTCATCTCAGTGAGCTAAAACCAACCAAATGTGTCCACAGGGCTGAATATCTGACACCCCAAATGAGACTGTATTGGAGCTGGTGGGCAACATGTTCCAGTCCACTTGATGGATGAGGGTTGGTGAGCAGTACCTCCCCATAACAGTAAAAAAGTCAAAAACTGAGAACGAATCACAAAAAATTGTCAAAATGGTTGAAAAATACACACAGAACAAAACAATACACAGCAAGCTAAGTATGTACAAAGTAATATACATTATTCATAGAAAGCTGGTTCTGTGCTGGGAACAGAGCTGGAGTCCATTACACCAGTGGCAGAGAAAAGGGCCCTCAGTAAGCTGCTATCCATTATGGATAACGCTGACCATCCTCTGCACAGCGCCATCATGAAGCAGAGGAGCTCATTTAGTGGTAGACTGCTGTCCCAGCCCTGCTCCATGGACAGATTCAGGAAGTCCTTTGTCCTTCAAGCCATAAGACTGTTCAACTCCTCCCAGTACAGTAAAAATAGAGCCTTGTAAATCTGAGGCACCCCAGATACATACCTATGTATGTTTATGTATACATGTACAGTACATGTATATTGATATACTGTACATGTATATGTGCATGTATGCTTAGATGTGTATGTATGTATGTATGTATATGTATAGGTTAATCATGAATGTAGCACTCCCTACCACCTTGTGCATATTGTCTTTTTTTTCCAGAATTGTATATTCTGCTTCTATCTTTTTTAAAATTATTATTTCAACATTGTTGTTTTTTTCTGTATAATTACAACATGCTATGTCTTAAATTTCCCCCTTGAGCTGGATGGATGGTTGGATGAATGGATGGATGCATGGATGGATTAACTGAACAAACAAACATAGCGACCGACCAGTCAGTCAGTCAGTCCATTTAAAGTGCACGTTATTTTTTAACGTTTGACCAAAATGGCCATAACTTTGTCACTTAGAACTCAGTCCATGCATCATTGGTGGTGGGCGACATGAAGGAATAAGCCTAGTTTGTTTAGATCCACTAAAAAGTTTATTTAATTAAGCTCCTAATGATTTATTCTTTAAGACACGAAGATTCCTCTGCTTGCTGATTGGTGGTGGACATCATTAGAAAGGAGATACCAGAAAATCTTTGACTTATCACAAAGAAAAAAACTGCTAGATTGACAGGAAAACACAACAGAGTAAAAGCTTGGGGTTATTTAAATAAAGCAGTTGATGTATTTGGCTAAACAGCACAAAATAACTTCTTATTCAACACTATCACTCTACAGACACATCATCATCAACTTTATTTATAAAGCACTTTAACAGCGGCCACAGCTGAAACAAAGTGCTGAACATAAGTAAAAAATTAGATCAAAGAAAGCATAAAATTACATATACATGACAACACTCATGCTCTACATATAAAAAGAAAGGAAGTTTTTCTGATTCTTTGGCAGTGAACTTAAAAAAGGGAAATCTGCGCTCCCTGGTGTTGAACATTTGACTTTACAAATATTAAAACTTATTGGAAAAAGTGAATTGTGCTGTTTTTTACAGACACATAAAAACATGAACAGTGGATGGACGCATGCATGCATGCGTGCGTCCATCCATGTACATACTTGCATGCATGTATGTATATATACGTTTATATATATGTATATGTATATATATATATATATATATTTTGTATTTATTTTATTAAATTTATTAATTTTAAAATACAACAAAAAAAAACAATAATGCAAACTAAGTTTATATAATATATAAATAAAATGAAGGGTAGCAGAAGGAAGAAAAAAATCTTATTTTATCTGCCCCCTCTTACAATAATTCAAATCAAACAACAATCATCTGTAAGTACCGAAACAAACAAAAAAAGAAAAAAAAGAACAATTCACTATAATTTTCGAACTATAATGCAACATACATAACAGTATTTCATATATATTTTTGCAGAAGTCAATTTTTAATTTTTTTTCTTAAAAGTAATCGTTGTTTTTGCATTTTTCACTTCAGTTTTCAAACCATTCCACAATCTAATTCCCTGGATTGAGGTTGACCGACCCTTCAAACTGGTTCTATATCTTGGTTTAACAAATATTTCCTTTCCCTTGAGATTATAACAGCTTTGTCGCTTAATGAAATATATTTGGATATTCACAGGTAGTTCATTTATATGAGCTCTATACATAACTAGTAAAATATTATAATCCACCAAGTCATGGAACTTCAATATTTTCAGTTGATGAAATAATGTGCTAGATGGGTGACAGTAA